GGGACGGGACGGGAGGCCAACGAGGGCTGTTGCTGCTGCTGCTGGTGCTTCTCTTTGGCCTCGGGTGGCACATGCCTTGGGCCAAGCCCAGGCCCTGCGGCCTCCTTGCCTCTAGGAGAAGTATTATGTTGCTGGCAGATGGGACGACTCTGGGCAGGAGCAGAAGAAAGCAAAGCTGCTGCTGCTGCGGGCAGGGATGGGCGGGCACGGATTGGATCCAAGGCGGCCCAAGTGCGCCAGGGCCAGCCTGGAGGTGCCCAGGGGCAGGCAGGGTGGCACCGCCCTGACGGACCAATTTATCTCTTGAATTGGTTTGCTTAAAGCATTTTAACCTGCCCGTTGCTGCTGCTGCTGCTGCTCGGGTTGCTGGGCAGTGGTTTCCCGTTTCCTCGTGTCTGCCTCACCCCACGGCCCTGAAAGCAGGAAGCTCTCACCAGAGAATGAGACAAATAAAAACCCTGTCTTAATAACACGTGATCTTTAAAAACAGATTGCAAACTCCAGAAGCCCATGTTTGTTGGGCATTGAGATTTTGGTTTAGATTTTTATCTGCTTTGTCTTGGATTGTTCTGGTTACAAACTGTCATCTCAAGATATTTGTAACCGGTGTGTATTTACTGATGTTTCACAAACAACTACAAACCACACACGCTCATGTTTTGCGGTGGAGAATCTTTTGGCCACGGTTAACCGTTTGTCTGGCCTTAAAAAAAACCCCACAATTCCCATGGGGCCACATTTGCCGAGCGGAGAGGCCTAGTTGACATCTGTGAACAAGCGCCCGCGATCTAGGCCAGGCCCCTCGGGCGTCGATCCACAGATTGCATCGAGATCTTGGCTTCCAACCATGATGGGATTCCGGGCACCCCAGGTGGGCCTTACCTGGGGAGGTGGGGTGGTCTCCTCTCTCTCCCAGCGATGGGGAACACGCTCAGAGCCACACACTCCTCTCTCTCTCTCTCTCCCCCGAGCGGTGACCCTCCTTGGCAGCTGGAACTCCGGTGCTGGGAACCTGGCAATTCATTCTGGGGAAGCAGCTTTCCCGCTGGGAGGGTCTGGATGAGCCGAAGAGGCAGACCTTCATCCCAGCTGACTCTCTCCCTCTCCCTCTCCCTCTCCCTCTCCCTGCTCTGTCTTCCCTTTCACAGGTACTTGGTCCCTCTTCTCTGTCGTCTCCTCCCTTGTTCTCTAATTGTGGCGATGAAGGAGGACCTGCTCTTTCCAGCCGCGGGTGGCCGGGCGCTTCTTCCTTCCTTGGGCATCTCACTCAGGACCGAGCGTGATGGTGGCTGTGGCCTGGGGGCTCCTCCCCACCCAAGCTGTGGTTCCTTGGGAGGGCATGTTGGTGCCGGGGGCCAGGCCCCCCCCGTCTTGCCCCCCTCCCTCTGCTCCCCGACCCACTGTGTGGTGGGCGTGTTTGGATGTGCAGGGAAAGGGGGCTGCCCATGCCTCTCCGGACCTTCTCGAAAGACACTTCTGTGCCCCACAAACGGAAACCTGGACTTTCCCCTTCTTGGCCTTCGCCACCCTGGTCTGTTGATGTGTCTCTTTGTGCAAAAGTCACCCCCCCCACCGCCCCCACCTCTCTCTCTCTCTCTCTCTCTCTCTCTGCGCCTTTGTTCGTTTCCCCCATCAGCTGCACGCTTACAGTCAGATGCAAGGAGTCTGCCTGGGCTCCAGCTAATTGGTCCTGATCCACAGTCAGTTATCTGCTGCGTCAGTGGCGGCTACTCACCGGCGAGGCTGGCCAGCTTCTCCAGCACCCAAGCCATGGCTGTCGATCATCCACAAGCAAGCTCAGGTGGCAAGAATAGAACGCACGACCCCGCAAGAGCCGCCATGGCAGCCACGGAGGCCACCTTTCTGCCTCTCAGAAGTTGGGGAGCAGGGAGGGAGTCCCGGAGGGGAGGGGAGGGGAGGGGGGACGAGAATTGTGCCAAAAGGACCTCACACCACTCCAGGAAGCAACCGAGGCCCTGGGGAGTGTGTTCGTTCCCGGTCTTTGGCCGTCTGCAGAAAGCAGCTCCTGGGAGTTGGCTTCACGGCAAGGCTTTTCTCACGGGTGTCGGCCGGTCGGATTTCTCCCTCGGCGCTGGTGATGGAGCCGAGAGGGCCGCCTGTGTCTAATTCTGCACTTCTGAGGGGCCCCCATCCCCTGCCAGGTGTCCTCAGACATTCAGGCGCTTCCACCCACATCTGCGACTGAATTGTGGAGAATCCCCCAAACGCGGAAGACTCGGTGGATTTCTCACGGCAAGCCTACGACCGACCGGCAGCTGGCACGGAGGAGGAAAGCCGCGCTGACACCGTGGGCAGGAGGAGGAGGAGGTTTGTGCCTCTGTTCCCTCTTGAATCTTGCCTCTGCCGGGAAGATCCTCCACTCCGCCCGCCCTGCAGCCGCCTCGCGGCGAGCCCCCCACGTTGCCTCCCATCCCTGGGCGCAGGAGATCTGCATGCCGCCGGGGATCAGCTGCCCGGCCACGCCTGCTCCCTGACTGGACTGGAGGAGGGACGTGGGAACCCAGCCCAGGGAAGCATCGGTCCAGAAGCCCCCACCCACCCACCTGAGGGATTTCCTGCCTGCTTGGTGCTTACTTTGGGACCAGCCCCGTTACTGAGCCTGACCGGAAAGGGGGGAAGGGGGTGGGGGTGGAATCCCAGCGATGGGGGGCGGCCGCCCCCTCCCTCTCGAGAGACGCAGAGATCCACCGGAGCTGCCTGGCTTCTTTTTGGGGGGCGGGTGGGCAGATTGGCAGCCTGCGAGCAGCGCCACCAGACAGTGAACGCTGCTTGCCGCATTTCAGGGTCTTTGGTTTGTGAAGTCATTTTGTAGGGAAGAACGTGCCGTTTTAATCATCATCGTAATAAAATGCAACAACCCAGCCATCGGGTGCTTGTCGCTTTGTTGGAAGGCTTTTGCAGAGTGCGGGTGCAGGCGCTGGGGGTGGTTTCTTAGGGCCGCTTATAGACCTGGGGTGCGTGTGGGTGTGGGTGTGTGGGTGTAGGTGCGTGCCTCTCGGGCTTTACCCCTTCCTTCCCACCCAGCCTTGGCCTGAGAGGGTTTTCCGAAAGGGTTTCTTCCTGCCCTCCGGAAAGGTGAAATGCCTCTCCTGGGGCTTTCGTTCCTGAGAACAAGGACTTCTAGGCAAGGGGTGATGGGGGCTTTGCGGGGGAGGGGTTTGTGTCCCTTTTTCCTTTGACCCCCTGGGGTGCCCTCGAATCCCCCGCCCACCTGGCGCCAACCACAAGAGGAAGGTGCTGTGAACGGCCGCCTCCGTCGGCAAGCGGGTCCCCACCCTTGGTTAGAAACGCAGCAGAATGTGTAGGAGCCATTAGGGGTCCCACCAGGAGAGCAAGGAGGGAGGGAACGGGTCAGTTCGGAGGGCCAGCCGGCCAGAACATGCCCGCCAAGGGCAACGGGTGTCCCCAGAGATCCAGAGGTTGGGTGGGTGGGGGCCCCCTCTATACTCCCTTTCCGTTCTCCGCATCTTCTTGAAGTCACCCCTGTTGGTTTCGCCAGTTGCACAGCGCTCTCTCTCTCTCTCTCTCGCTCTTGCCAGTTGCACAGCGCTCTCTCTCTCTCTGTGCGTGCGTGCGTGCACATATTTTTCAGAATTCGGTTTATTGTAATGCACTTTCCAGCTGCTCTGCTCGCAAACTTGGTTGTGTAATGTCTGTTAAACCTCTGATTTCCTTCAAATACGGTAAATAGCAAATGACTGAAGACCAAGAATGTAAAAACAAGATGAAACTGATGGGAGAAAAGTAAAACGAACAACATGCTCCTTACACCCAACTAGCAAATCCCTCTTTTCTGGCTGCCTTCGTTTATTATTTGATAAAGGTACATATTTCTCACTTCTCAGCCTGTGCGCCACCCAGCCCCCTCCCCAAATCAATGCCCCAACATTAACGATAAAAGCTTGAGCTGCTCTTTAGAAACAGATAACAGGCAATCGAACTTTTAAAAAGCTAACTTTATTAAACTCAAGACACTCTACAAGCCAGCTTTAAGAAGAAGTTTTAATTTGTGCATTACTGTGGATTATGGAAGAGACAAGTCTGTCAGTGTTGCTTTCTCCCTGTTTTTTTTTTTTTAATTTCAGATTCTTTCAATTGAGTGCATGAACGGCCAAGTTTGGTAAGTTATAAGTACAACACATGGGGATGGATAGATAGATAGTTTGTTTGATGGATTGATTGATTGAAAGGGAGATCCAGAAAACATCCTGAGTTGTTGCATTACATACAGAGCAGTTGTCTGGTTTCTACTGCCACCTAGAGGCAAGTGGGGGGAAGAGAACTAGCACCCTGTTTGGTGGCTCTGGGTTTGTGAGCTGCAGTACCCTAGTGTGGCCACGAAGGGAGGTGGCGCTCTAGAGCTGCTGCAGCCACTGCTTAGCCCACATCTGGACTTTCTTCCAAGAGGTCGCAATGGGAGGCTGGAGAAAAGCAGGCAAAAGTTGCATCCTTGTGTCTCTGCAGGGCCCAGAGGCGTTCTTAAGTGGTTAAACTAATGGAGCAAAGAAATCTGTATGTGTTTCCTCAGAGTCAGGTGGAGGGGGGGCTACAGCTGGGAGAGTCCCTCGGCCCGCCTGGCTCTTGGAACCCTGGAAGTCTCTCTTCTCAGCAGTGCTTCTGCCTTTCCTCAGGAGTAAATCCCGATTGATCTCAATGCAGCTTCCTCCCAGGTAAGCCATTATAAATTGGGTTGGTAAGCTGAACTTGTTTTTCCAACAGAAAGCAATGCTTAGACTTTTTGGGGAAGCCAGGAGGGGAAACATAATCATGATTTCCCTTACATCACTTTGACAAGTTATTGAATTTTGTTTTGTTTTTTACACAAATTGGAAGGCCTGCAATCTGTTTCAAAAATCAGGATCCATAGGAGAGGTTTCGGTTGGATCCCTCGGAGGGCTCACTGTGGGGGCCATCGAAAAGCTTTCCACAGGGTAACTTTTCTGTCTGGACTCTTTTCTTTTCAAGAAGTACAAGTACAGGAAGAAGAGGGGCGGGGGGGTGAGGAGGACTTTGGCCGTGGTGTAGCCCACGAGGAAGTCTCCTGCAAAAGGAAAAGCAAGAAGCTTTTAAGGGTCAGGGTCTCTTGAGTCTAGAAAAGTTGCCCTGGTGACTACAACTCCCACAATCCCCTGCCAGCAGGAAGACTGTGTCCTCTCTCGCACCCGGCTTGCAAGAGAGCGTGCCGGCCTTGAAGCTGGCAGGTGTCCATCACAAAGCAAGGCGCAGGCGAGAACTGAGATTGGTTTCTCCCATACTGGAGTTTTTAAAAAAAACAACCCTCACCCACCCACCCAACCCACCAAATCTCAGATTCTTTTCTGTTCTGAAGAAGGGCTGTGCGTGTGTGTTTGTGGAGACAGCAAAGGAGCTTTCAAAGAAGCGGCAGAAACCATGCCCCTCTCCACCACAGCCGCATCTGGCATCTCAGTCTGACGCTGGAGACAAGTTCTTGCAAAGGGGAAGTTGCTGAGCTGCCAAACACAGCCAGCCCCCAATGGGAAAAAAAATGTCATTGCTTCAGGCCTTTACCTGGAATCCTGAATGATGGAGGAGGTGCCTCACAGTGCAGGCCGAGGGTGCAGGAATTGTTGACCAGCAGATCGGTGGTGATGTTGATGCCTGGATGTGGGGGAGGGAGGAGGAAGGGGAGGGAGAAGAAGACGGTCAGCAGACATGCCAGCACCTGCCATTCCCTGGGGTAACAGACCATGTTGCTTGGGGTCCCGTCTGCCCGCCCGCCCAGCGCGGGCCCAGCGCTGCCAGCACTTCTGAGCTCTTACTAACCAAAGGAATACGACGTCCTTTCGTGCAGCAGCAGCGGGTTGGGGCTTCCCGGGGTCCGCACCAGCACCTCGTAGACTCCCTCGTCGCTCTGCCGCAGGTTGTTGAGCTGGAACGAGCTATAGCCCAGATAGGTGATCCTGCCGGAATGGGAGGGTTTGACGACGTACTGCTTTCTCTCGGGGGTCCAGATCACAAGCCCCTTGCGCTTGGAAGCAGACCAGAGCAGGACGTGGGCGGAGGAGGAGTCCCCCCCCTCCGGAAGGTCAAGGCAAAGCAGGAGGGAGCTTCCCGGGTTGCAGGTGAGGTTCTGCGGGAGGTTCCTCTCTCCTGGGTAAGGCAAGGCACAAGAGGAGGCAGGAGGAGAAACGGGCCGGGCAGGCAGAAGGGCAGGAGGGCAGGCGGGCATGGACAGCCTCTTGGTTGGGGAGGGAGCCGGGGCTTCCCCCCCACTGGGTGGGTCTGAGCACTCTTGGGCGCCCATTCCACGACTCGGCTCTCCTCCCCCTCTGCGAAACGTTTCCCTCTACCAAATGTCGTCTGGATTGGACCTTGCCAGCCACTTTTGCCCAAGGGAGGAAAAGGGTCCTCTTTTTGGGGTGAAGGGGGAGGCATGCAAGAGGACCCTTGATGCAACAGTTTGGGGCATAAACGCTACCCGCGCATCGTCACTTTCTCGATCGCTGCACCTCGTTTACACGTGATTGGTTTCAACCAAAAGGGGACGACCTTGATGAGGTGAGCCAGTGGAGGTCCAGGTGCTGCTGCTCCCCATGGATGATGGGCTACCTCTGGGCCCCTGGTCGCCTTCCCTCCTTAGAGATTTTGCTCTTTTAAATCTGATTGGGCCTGGAGAGCTCCTGAAAGAGAGGACCGCTTCCTTGCTGAAGACCTGAGGTGCCAGGCGGGGTGGGGTGGGGAAGGAGCTCTTCTGATTCTGCCTTTCTGATGCCCCAGAGCTTCAAAGGAACCATGAAAGCACTTGGCTATTGAGCCGAGGGTCCCTGCAGGGATGTGTGTGTCTCAGTTTCACTTACCTGCAGCCTGGAAGAGAAAGAGGAGGAGGACGAAGCCGACAGGACTGTGGGAATCCATGCTGCGGAAGGAGCAGCCGAAGGGAGTCGTCGTGCGGGGCCAAATCCAGGCAGAGCGACTTCTCTTTCCTTCTGCGATTTGCGAGCAAGCAGTGGCAGGGAGAGTCGTCCCTCCTCACGTCCCTCGGTGTCGCACAGGATTTGCTGCCGGCCGTGTGACGAGCCAGCCCCGTGGGAAATGGCCAGCGCCCTTCCTTGGGGCTGAGCTGCAGGAACTGTTCTGGCCACAGAGAGGTTTTCTGTAACCCCCAAAGTGGAAGTGGGACTTCGGCTGAACGGAAGAAGAAGAATCAGGCGTTTGGGTGGTCACTCAGGGACGGCCTGGACCCTGTTTCCAGAAGGCCCCCTTCCTCCACCTTGGCCTTACCTGGCCCACGGTGGGTCTCGGGTTGTGTCTCCCCTCTGGCGTGGACCCCCCCACGTGCTCCACAGCGCCCCCCCCGCTCCGCGTCCCCTTGTTCAAGCCGCTGCTCTCAGATCGGGCCCCTCCCGCCTTCTCTGCCGATTCATTAACGGACCAAGAACGTCTCTTGATGGCAATCCATTTCAAGGCCCGGAAAGCGAAGAGAGAGGCTGAATGACTCAAGTCAACTCACACCCGGACTTATCTGGTCCAAAGGGGGGAGGGCCCCAAGCCCCATCGTTTCTGCTCATCATCTCTTGATGCATGGTGAGCTCTTTGAAGAACTCAGCCTCGCCACAAGGGCTGTTATCAGCCAGTGGCTTCCCCTCGCTGGCAGCTGATGCTGTTTCTGCAACATGATCGTGGCCTGTCATCGTTATCTCCCTCTCCCAGCTTCCGGCCTTGCAGATATCTGGACACCTGCCACGGCCACTAAAGGGCTGTGGGTCATGTCCTGTTCCGCGGTCTAGAGCCGGGAAGTACCTCTGGCCACCCCTGAGAGGCCCGGCTGGCCCCGGACGTGTTCCCCCTTGGAGGTTCCCCCCCACTCTGGCCGCCTGCCTTCCCTCCCGAGCTCCGTGGGAAAGGTTCCCTGGGGGGGGGATGCTGGGCCGAGGAGCCTCCTGGAGGACCAGGGAGCCCTGCCCGAGCCATCAGCCCCCTGCAAAAGCTTGTGGGGGACGGCCAAGGGCGTTTGGCTTTTCCACCTTCGTGCCCCGCAGAGAGTCGGTTTTTAGAAACACATCCCCCTGAGGAGGGGGGGTCGGCCCTCCCCCTCGGCGCTGTGTCCAGGCTGGCGGGCTCTCCGTGTGCGGAATGGTCAAGAAAGGACCCCTGTGAAAGCACTTGGGGGGGGTGGCTTGCGTCTGTGACTCCCTTGCCTCCTCTGGGTAAAGGAGGGCTCAGGACTTGCCCTCTTTCCGAAGCCCAAGGACCCCGGGCAGCCTCGGAGCCCCGTATCGCTCCATCTGCATGGAAGAGGCATTCGCTAGCCCTGCCTGTCGTCCCCGATGGCCGCCAGAGAGGGGGCTTCCCGGCCCTGTCTGCTTGAGCCGCTGAGCGGAATCAGCAAAGCTGAACCTGAGCCGTCCGGGGATGCGGGAGCTTGGCGGCTGGTTTAGAGTTAAGCCGGCGCTTAAAGCGTTGCTAGCTTAGCCTCCCCAAGAGGGGTCCCTCTGCACCCGCGCTCGCCTGCGTGCTTTCTGTATGCTTCCCGGTTCTCTTTTTCATCCAAGTCTGGCAGATTTGGGGCCTGCAAAGGTAGCAGCAAGAAACGCACGATGGGCCTGACGTCTCTGCCAAGGCCTGGCCAGAAAAGGGTGTGCTCTCCTCCCTCCCTTCCTCCGAAGAACACACGGCAAAGAGGAACATTTGCTTGGGCCGCTTTTCCGAGGGCATGCTCAACTCTGAACCCACCAGCGTTTCCGGAGTGAGCCTTGGCATGACGAGAACTCTGCCACTGAGGTGCAAAAGGTGGG